GGTGTGGCAGGGAAGGTCCTTGGGATTAGTAACAGGCAGTATGAGAAAAATGCGCCCCTTTTCTAGTTCTATGAAGAATGTAATTGGAATTTTAATAGGAATTGCATTAAATCTGTATAAGAGTTTTGATAGTATTTTGACAATATTAATTCTGCCTATCCAAGAGCATAGGAGATCTTTTTATATTCTATGGTCTCCTTCAATTACCTTCTTTAGTATTCTGTAGTTTTCATTGTGGAGGTCTTTCACCTCTTTTGTTAAGTTGATTCCCAAGTATTTTATATTTTTGAGGCTATTTTGAATGGGGTAGTTTTCTTAATTTCTCTTTCAGTGGATTAATCACTTCGGTATAGAAATGCATTTGATTTATTGGTATTGATTTTATATCCTGCTACTTTGCTGAATTCATTTATTAGTTCTAGAAGTTTTCTGGTGGAATTTTCTGAATCTTCTAAATATAGAATTATGTCGTCAACAAACAGTGATAGTTTGAGTTCTTCTTTTCCTAAGCATATCCTTTTAATTTCTTTTTTTTTTAAATGTTTATTTCTTTAGTTTTAGGTGGACACAATATCTTTATTTCACATTTATGTGGTGCTGAGAATCGAACCCAGTGCCTGACGCACGTTAAGTGAGTGCGCTACCACTTGAGCCACATCCCCAGCCTTCCCTTTAATTTCTTTTGTTTGATTGCTCTGGCTTGAATTTCAAGAACTATATTAATAGAAGTGGTAAAAGGGGGCATCCTATCTTGTTCCGGTTTTTAGAGGGAAGGTTTCCAATTTTTCTCCATTTAGAATGATGTTGGCCTTAAGCTTAGCATAGTTAACTAAGTGTTGAGGTATGATCCAGCTATTCCCAGTTTTTCTAATGTTTTGAACATGAAGAATTGCTGTATTTTATCTAATGCTTTTTCAGCACCTATTGAGATAATCATATGATTTTTGACTTTAAATCTAGTGATGTGGTGCATTATATTTCTTACTTTCCATATGTTGAACCAAACTTGCATCCCTGGGATGAACCCCACTTGATCGTGGTGCACTATCTTTTTGATAGATTTTTGTATGTGATTGGCCAAGATTTTAATGAGAATTTTGCGTCTATGTTCATCAGGGATATTGGTCTGAAGTTTTCTTTCCTTGATGTGTCTTTTTCTGGTTGGTATCAGGGTGATGCTAGCCTCATAGAATGAGTTTGCAAGGGTTCCCTCCTTTTCTATTTCATGGATTAAATTGAGGAGTATAGGTATTAGTTCTTCTTTGAAGGTGTTGTAGAACTCAGCTGAGAATCCATCTGGTCCTGGGCTTTTCTTGGTTGGTAGGCTTTTGATGGTGTCTTCTATTTCTTTGCTTGAAATTGATCTGTTTAAATTGTGTATGTCCTCCTGATTCAGTTTGGATAGATCATATGTTTCTAGAAATTTGTTGGTATCATCGACATTTTCTGTTTTATTGGAGTATAAATTTTCAAAATAGTTTCTAATTATCTTCTGTATTTCAATAGTGTCCATCCTGATATTTCCTTTTTCATCATGAATTTTAGTAATTGGAGTTTTTTTCTTTCTCTTCATTAGCATGGCTAAGGGTTTATCAATTTTATTTATTTTTTTTTAAAGAGCCAAGTTTTCATTTTGTCAATTTTTTGAATTGTTTATTTTGTTTTAATTTCATTGATTTCAGCTCTGATTTTAATTATTTCCTGTTTCTACTACTTTTAGTGTTGGTTTCTTCTTCTTTTTTTTGAGGGCTTTGGGATGTAATGTTAGGTCATTTATTTGTTAATTTTTTATTCTTTTAATGAATGAGCTCAATGCAATGAACTTTCCTCTTAGCACTGCCTTCATAGTGTCCCAGATATTTTGATAGGTTGTATCAGTGTTCTCATTTACCTCTGAGAATTTTTCTTATCTTCTCTCTGATGTCTTCTGCTACCCATTGTTCACTCAATATCATATTATTTAGTCTCCAGGTGTTGCAGTAGCTTCTACTTTGTATTTTATCATTGATTTCTAGTATTCCATTATGATATGATAGAATACAGGGTAGTATCTCTATTTTTTTATGTTGCTGAGAGTTGCTTTGTGGCGTAATATATGATCTATTTTAGAGAAGGATCCCTGTGCTGCTGAGAAGAAAGTGTGTTTGCTCAATGATGGATGAAATATTCTATATATGTCTGTTAAGTCTAAATCATTAATTGTATTATTAAGTTCTATAGTTTCTTTGTTTATTTTTTGTTTGGAAGATATATCCAGTGGTGAGAGTGTGAATTAAAGTCACCCAGTATTATTGTTTTGTGATCTCTTTGCTTCTTGAAATTGAGAAGGGTTTGTTTGATATACATAGATGCTCCATTGTTTGGGGCATAGATATTTATGATTGTTATGTCTTGTTGATGCATGGTTCCCTAAAGCAGTATGAAATGTCCTTCTTTATCTCTTCTGACTAACTTTGGTTTGAAGTCCCCTTTATCTGATGTTAAGATGGAAACCCCTTCTTGTTTACATGGCCCAGGTGAGTGAGTGATATGTTTTTTTCCCCATCCTTTCACCTTCAGTCTGTGGATGTCTTTTTCTATGTGATGAATCTCTTGAAGGCAGCATATTGTTGGATCTCTTTTTAAAATCCAATCTGACAGTCTATGTCTTCTTCTTGTTTTTAGAGAGAGAGAGAGAGAGAGAGAATTTTTTAATATTTTTTTTTTAGTTTTTGGTGGGCACAACATCTTTATTTTATTTTTAAAATAAAGCATTGTAGTGCGCTCGCCTGGCATGCGCGGGGCGCTGGGTTCGATCCTAGCACCACATAAAAATATCAGTTGTTCACTCTGCACAGACAATCCCCTGCCATTTCTCCAATGCCAATTGACATGAATGGCACCAGTTAAGAAAATATTGAAGAAGAAATTATAGAAAGAGCTGATTAAATTCTCTAGTGCTGAAAGTAGCATAGACTTGAAGGTACACTTGCATGAGATAACCAAGCAAAAATTTCTGAAATTTTTGTCTTCACATGCTTAATTAATTCCTGATTTAATTTGAAATGAAGGACAGGGATCCTTTTGAAGGCACAGGGGCAAATATGAAGGTCTGAGACTTCAACAGGCCTCTTTTCTTGATAAAGAATATTTCCATTAGGCAATTCAGTCAGACTCCAGAGAGCAATTCTGGAGCCAGAGATGCTTTTGGTAAATTTGCATCTGGAGTTTTATGGGAGGCATAGTGTGCAAGGGGCACAGATGAAAGGCCAGTAATGCTTATTGTTTTTATTTTTTATTTTTAGTTGTATTTTAGTTGACACAATACCTTTATTTTATTTATTTGTTTTTATGAGGTGCTGAGGATCAAACCCAGGGCCTCACATGTGCTAGACCAATGCTCTACTGTTGAGCCACAACTCCAGGCCAGTAATGCTTATTAATGAGGGGCTTTAGCCAATGTTTCATGTGCTTTCCTAATTGATACACATCTGTTATAAAGTATGTATATATTTATTTATTTTGGATACTAAGGACTGAACTCAGGGGCACTTGGCCACTGAGCCACACTCTCAACCCTATTTTGTATTTTATTTGGAGACAGGATCTCACTGAGTTGCTCAGCACCTCACTTTTGCTGAGGCTGGCTTTGAACCCCCGATCCTCCTGCCTCAGCCTCCGGAGAAGCGGAGAAGCCGCTGGGGTTACAGGCTTGCACCACTGTGCCCAGCTGAGTATTTGTTTTTCAGTAGTGGACTCCGGGCCCGGGAGGTTGATGAGCCATAGACAAATTATCAATCAAGGCAATTCTTCATTTTGTAGAATACACACATTTTATCCTCTGATCCAAGAAGCTATTCTTATTTTATTTGCTTGAGACAATGATAGTACAGGAATGCCCCTTCCCCCAAGAGACTGAGTTTGATAACTTTGGACCATCCAGGATGCTGTAGGTCACCACACAGAATTTGCATGCCACTGTCCCTTTGGGAACCATCTGAACACCCTCTGGATAGACAGGAAGTATCTGATGGGCTGATGGTCATAGTGCACAAAGGCACTGTACCAAATTATATAAAGATTCCATTAAAGAAATGATAACAAGTTTACAAAGAACAACATTCTGGGGCTGGGGATAGAGCTCAGTTGGTAGAGGGCTTGCCTCCATGCACAAGGCCCTGGGTTCAATCTCCAGCCCCACAAAAACAAACAAACAAACAAACAGAAAACAGGAACAAACAAACAAACAGAAAACAGGAACAACATTCTTTAAATAACTCCATGGTAAAGAAACAATGAAAAAAATGTGGAGAACAAAGAGGGCAGATGCAATGTCAATCATCTGCAGATCTTACAACAAGACATGACAAAGAGATCTTACAGAGAGATTCTACTTTAAAAGATCTTATTTTTAATCCTGTAAGAAAATTTAAATCTGCTAGACAGTATCAGACTTTTCTGGGAGTCGTAAAAAGGACCAGCCAAACTAGCTGGACTTGCACTAAATTAAGTCTCTTTTGAACAGCACTAACGATTTTTTAGGGATAAACATTTGAATTTTACTGGTTTAGCAGTGGCAAGAACAATCACGAGGCTGGCGGTAGATAGACTGAAGCTCTGAAGTTAAGAGTTGCTCAGGTGAAGCAGGGAGGGTCCCCGCGGATCAGAAACAGGCCGCGTGAGAAGAAGGTGCGCTGGTGGCAGGGTCCTCATCCCGCCCCGCGCTGAACAGGTGGCTTGGGCGTCTCGGTCGTCCCCAGGGTCCCCTCACCCAACCCCGCCCCGAGCTGAACAGGTGACCTAGGGCGACTTGGTCATCCCCAGGGCCCCGCCCCCCTACCCCGCCCCGCGCTGAACAGGTGGCCTAGGGCGTCTCGGTCATCCCCAGCTGTCCGGGCCCGGGAGGCGGAGCTCTGGGGGGCGCGGTGGGGGCGGGGGGGGGGCGCCACCTTGTTCCTTTATCTCCGGGAGGAGGGGCGGCCTGGGAATGAAGTGTGACAGTAGCCCTACTCGCAGCCGCCATGGAGCAGCCGCGCGCTGCTGCTCGCCTGCGGAGGATTCTGGGGCACCTTGGCGGTTCCTCGGTTCGGGCCGTGGTATCCTTTGGGGTGAGGTGGACTCGCGCCACCCAGTTGGGGCACAGCAGCCTCGGACTTGGAGATTGACGCGGGCTCCTGTGGTGGCCTCCCGGTCTCAGGACTGCCCCTTCTCTTGCCCTGAGCGCCCCTCCGCGCTACTATCCCCCTAAAAGTTACATCTCAAAAGGAGACCTGGGAGCGGGGTTGGATCTCTAGGCGCTGGTAGCCCCCCACGACCCCAAAGGCATCTTTCCCGGGTATTGGGTACGTGACTGTCCTGGTCTCAGTGGCTGCTATCGCGCTTGGCTCCACCTTTCTGGTACTTCTTAGGGCCTACTGTTTGTTGCTTCGTGAAGAGGGGAGGTTGAGTGGCCTTGCCATAGTCATCTGCCTTGTTATTTTTTTTGTAAGGTGTGCAAGACCTCTAGGAATGCTTGGAGACCAAGAAATGCCCGAGGGCAGTCACATTAAACAGGAGCACACAGCTGCTTGGGAGTGGCCTAGGGGCCAGGCATCTGTCCTCCTCTCAAGAGAAGATGCCAGTCCTCTGAAGGGGTGGACACAGCAGCGCGGAGGTGGATCCTTGTCCCAGCCTCTGCTTGGGAGCTTCCTAGGGGAGCTCTGTGCTCCTTAGCAGCCTCTGGTGGCTTGGGGATCCTGACAGAGTCCTAAGCTGATATGTAGGAAAAGGATTTAGACAAGGATTTACTCCTTGTCTTCAGAAGTGAATCCCAGAAGGAATGTGTGTGCCAGGCTTGTAGGGGAGGAGCAGACCCAGAAATAGGGTACTATGAATAGACCTGCCCATCAAATCGGCTTCTTGAACTGCTTTTGCCTGCCCATTCAGGGCGCACTTTTGGAAGCTCTGTAGGAACTGCATGGAGTTTTTCCTTAGGCCAGTATCCTCTCTTCTGCTTTATGTTAACATCCTGACATCTCTCCTAAGGTTGATTATCACAGCTGTTTCTTGGACTTTCAGTGTTGCTCTTCCCACTGGGTTTCCAAGCAGCCATGTGGGAGAACATTGAAATGCTTAAACTTTGTCCATAGAATGATAAAGAGACCCCAGGTGAGGATGTCAGCTCATTTTACAAGTGAGTAACAGAGTCTAGGAGAGATTAAAAATCTGGACCAAGATCATTTAACTAAACCAGTGTTTGTCATAGTGTGGTCCATGGAACAGTGTCATCTGCATCCCCTGGGAACTTGTCAGAAGAAGTGGTTAGAAAAGGACTTCTTCTGGGCAGGTTAGGTCAGTTTGTTTAGCTTAGTGGCAGAGGGCTTGCCTAGTACTGCAGGGCCCTGGGTTTCATCCCAGGAGGGTGGGGAATGCAAATTCTATGGCTCAACTCAACTCCAAAATTGCTGAGTCAGAATCTAGAATGACGCACTTAGGTGTCATTTATCTTGACATTTGTGATGTAGCCTAGATTTCGAGAGTCACCAATACACTGGGATATTTAGAAGTTTAATTAGGGTTTCTTTGTTCAGTTTCTCAATGCTTTGTTTTCCCTCCCTGAATTTAGAGATTCTTTTTTCATGGCTGTTTTCTATAGGAGCACTGTTTAACATGGCTTTCTGCAATGATGGAATATTCTATGACTGGACATGTAGCTATTGAGCCATTGAAATGGGACCAGCGCAATTCAGGGACAGCATTTGACATTGAATTAATTTCACCTTAAATAGGCAGAGGAGCCTGATGGCTATAATCTTGGATAGCACTGGCTAAGATTTGCAGTGAATTTCCTTTCATCTTAGACTTCTGGAAGTTTTGTGACAGTTTTTCTCCAGCCTTCATTGTTTCTTAGGAAGGTAAATTTTGGAATAAAAGTTTGATGTATAAAATGTCATATTTATTTTTTAAAGAAGATATGTAGAAAGGGGGAAATTAGAGACATATAACTCATTATTCTACCAGTGACAATTCATTGGTAAACTTTTTAGTGTTTTCCATCATTTGCATATGTATTACAAAACCAGGAACATACTGTATGAGGTTTTTGCATCCATTGTTTTCACCTAACTTTAGATTATAAACATTTCCACTTTATTAAAATTTCCCCAAGAACAATAATAACAAAACAACATGCTGGAGGAATAGTGGAGAGGCACCAAGAACATTGGCTAGAGTCTGAAAACTGAATATCTTGGCAATGACAAATTGCTGAGGGTGGTTGTCCCCGGGCGTTAATCCTTCTGCCTCTGATAGAACAGACAGGAACTCATAATTCTGACTCTTGGCTTGCATCCCTCCTGGACTACGATACTGTCTCTACATTCCTTAGAGACTTCATTTAAGAAATGATAACCTGTTTATGAAAAGTGACACTTTGAAAGGAATTGTTTTAGCTAAAGAAACAATGAGAAGATAATAGAAACCATGAGATGCTGTGTCAATAATCTGTAGTTATAGAATGGAAAAGTGATCTTATAAAAAATAATTTATAAAAAATAATTTTACAGATATTTTAAAATTATACTATGGGGTTCATACTCAAATTGGAGTCATTGTTTATTTTATGGACTCCCATCTCCCCATTGAATGACCACCCAAACTTTCTAATATTTTGAACTGAAGCCCAACTCAATTAAATACTTTTTGTGAATAACCATGTTCTGTCTTTACTTCCAGGTTTGAACCTTTGGGTTTGTATTTGTTTAGTGGTTAGGTGAAGCAAATCACATGGATTAAGACAGACTGAAGCCTTGAAGCAGAGTGTGAGTTCTGTCCTGGCTCAGCCATTCCCCTCTGGGTGACCTTGGCCAGTTACTGAGCTCTCCAAGCCCAGGTTTCCTAGTGCAACAGCAGGAATGACTATAAAACCTCTGATATATCTGCCACCTCAGATTATTGTGACAATGAGACAAAGTGATATAAATGAAAGGACTTAAAGCAGCAGTGTGTACCTGTCAGGGTGATGTGGGAAACCTGAGCACCTGGTGCCTGTTTAGGGAACTCCTTTCTTGTGAGAACCTCCCCAGAGAAAATGATTGTTTCTAGACAAGTTTGACTCCCAAATTTTACTTTTTTTTTTGCCTTAATTCACACCCTAGGTAGCTCACCGCACATCAGGGAAGATTACCCCTGCAAATTTCCATCCTCAGCAATTCCAGTAAGTAGAAATATTTTTAACTGGTAACTCTACTATATGTATCCAGTGGTAACTTGGATACAATATACAATATAACATGTTGCCTGATTAAAATTTATTATACACATTCTCTATTTCCAGGATTTGTTCTAATTAGTAGAATTGTGGATACTTTTGAAGACTTTGACTCTAATTTTCAATATTTATTCTTAAATTTAGAAAGAAGGAAAAATACCAGAAAATGTATAATCTGAGTTTTGAAAATGCAACCATAAGTTATCACAACTAAATTAGTTTGTAGTTTGATTAAACTGAAATATTAGCTAATTTTTTGGTATATATATATATATATATATATATATATATATATATATATATATTACATTTTCTCTTTTTTTATTCTGCTTCTTCCTCTTCTTTTCCTTTATTATTGATTTATTTATTTATTTTTTTGAGTTTTGGATCTTGCTATGTTGCCTAGGTTGTTTTGCACTCCAGATTTCAGGCAATCTTCCTGCCTCAGCTTCTTGACTAGCTGGAATTATAAGTATGTACTGCCACACCTGCGAGGTTTATTATTATTATTATTGTTGTTGTTGTTGTTATAACACTGTAGATTAAACCCTAGTGGTTTAGTACTGAGCTATATCCCTAGTCCTTTTTATTTTTTATTTTGGGACAGGGTCTGTGTAAGACGCTTAGAGCCTCGCCAGCGCTAAGTTGCTGCGGCTGGTTTAGAAATTGTCATCCTCCTCCCTCAGTCTCCTGAATCACTGAGATAACAGGCCTGAACCACTGTGTCTGTCCAGGTTCATCATCTTAAATCACCTTTAAGGGGAAGACCTTGACTTTTATAAAATATTGTTATAGCCAAATTTCATCTTAAGAGATGAGTGATTTGCTTTTGCTTGTTTGTTGTACCCTCATTTGGTTTTTGTTACTTTAATGACTTCTGAGAATATATTGATTAAATTGAAAACATAAAATTTATTGAATTAGTTCCCCAACTGAAAAATCATATACATTCTAGGAAAAATTCAAAATTAGAGAAATAGAGGGAATTTTTAAACAATCATTTATAATTCCATTATTGAAATGCAATTACTGGCAAAATCTTTTTTTGATGTATTTCTCAATAGTCTCCTTTTCACAAATAGTGTTGTGTTTATATCGTTGTAATCATATTTTATTATAATGTGCGTGTATTGTCAATATTCTTTTGTCCTTTAATTTTAATGCATCAAGTGGATATTATATCGTTAGTTAATTTTTCTTCAATTAATGTACATCTTGTGAGCATTTTTAATGTTTTGGACCTGAAGTTTTTCAAATATTTTAAGATTATTTTGTTAAAGTTCTACAATTAGAAGTATTGGATCAAAAAATATGAACATTTTTGGGGGGTTCTTGGTACATAATGTTGGGTTGTAATTTAAAATTTGGACTGATTTGGTGCCTTTTTCTCCTGTAGGTATACTTTGGATAATAATGTGCTGAGCCTGGATCAGAGAAAATTTTATGAAGAAAATGGATTTCTTGTTATTAAAAATCTAGTATCTGATGCTGATATTCAACGCTTTAGGTGCAGCAATACTCTTGCTTATTTTACAAAAAATATGCATTATGGTAATTGTGTCATTTTCAGGAAAATGCATAGAATTTAGAACATCATGTTAAGCAAGTAAGGCCGACTCAGAGGGGTCGTTGTTTTCTCTACTGTGTGTAAACTAGAGAGACACAAGTAAAAAGAGGTCTCAAGAAAACAGAAGGGATTGGGCTGGGGATGTGGCTCAATCAGTAGCGCGCTTGTCTGGCATGCGTGCGGCCCAGGTTCGATTCTCAGCACCACATACAAAGATGTTGTGTTCACCGAAAACTAAAAAAAATAAATAAATATTAAAAAATTCAAAAAAATATATTAAAAAAAAAAAGAAAACAGAAGGGAGATCAATAGATACAAGAAAGATGTCCATGGGATGGAGGAAGGGAGGGAGAGGAGAGGTGCTGGGGAATGAAACTGACCAACTGATGCTCTGTGCAGGTATGAATACATCACATGAAATCCCAACATTATGTATCATTGTAATTCATACATAAAAATTTATAAATTATGTATTATATGTATGCAATGGGATTACAAATTAGATTAGCCTCTGCATGTTCAGATACTTTTGAGTGATGTGGTTTGTTGGGATATGTTTAGGAGCATGGGATCTGGAGGCAGACTTTCTGGCCTTAATCTCAGCTTAACATGGCGTGTCCCACATCGTCACCATAGTTTTCTATACATGTGTGTACTCCTCTGTAAAATGGTCATAGTAATAACACTGATATCCTAGCATTGTTGATAGGAGAGAAAAGGAAAAATATGTGGTATCAGGTAGGTGCTACAGGAGTAGAGTATTTGCTATTAAAGGCCAAGCATCACTTAACAGAAAATCAGTATCCAAACCATTGAGCACCGAGATGATGTCACAAGGGGGAAATTCCATACTTGGCTCATATGATGGTCATGGTCACAACACAGACACACTAAAAATATTGTATAAAATTATCTTCAAGCTGTGTGTATGAGGTATAGAGGAGACACAGAGTCATTTTGTGATGACACATAGGTGTCATCTTCCAGATATCTCATTATTATATTTTGTTATTAAGATTATTATTATTTTTAGTGCTTGGACTTGAATCCAGGAAGTTTCATCCCCATCCCTTTGTTCATTTTATTTTGAGACAGAGTCTTGCTAAATTGAATAGGCTGGCTTTAAATTTACTATCCTGTAGTCTCACCTCCTGAGTCTCTGGGATTACAGCATGCTCCACCACAATCAGCTCATTTTGTATATGTCAATATTCTAAGATCCAAAAATACCTGATGTTAGTTCTAAGTATTTGAGATAAGGGATATTCAGCCTGTATTATTACAATGGAATCAGAAAACTATGTCACCACTGGTATGTTAAGCAAAGCAATATTCTCGTTTTTTTTTTTTTGGTGGTGCTGAGGATTGAACCTAGGGCCTTGTGCATGTGAGGCAAGCACTCTACCAACTGAGCTATATCCCCAGCCCCCCTTGCTTTTTTAATTCTTGCAGGAGGCCAGGAGGCCAGGACTTCTGAGTTGGCCATTTTCTCCTCCCTCTACTAGGCCTGAGGACTGACTTAGCAGACAGAAACTGTTCCTGAATCTGTAAATCTTTGCACAGGTCAGGGCCAACCAGAGGTATGGAGCAGAGGTCATGACGTTATTTGTAAATTTAATTTTCTAGGGTTGCATTTGAAAAGATCTGCAGGGAGGAGTCCAAACCAGCAGGACTCATGATAATAAGAGATGTGTCCTCTGTGGAATCAGAGAATATACCAAGTGAGAAAACAATTGCAAGGATTCAAGATTACCAGGAAGATAAGGAGCTCTTTAGATACTGCACTCTCCCAGAGGTTAGAGACTTGCTTTTGGTTTGGTTTCTCCTTCATAGACAGCTTGCAGGTCTGCCCCAAGATCCCCTGGTTGTGTGAATCTAACCCCTTCCTACACATGGAACACTAGAGTGGTGGGTCTCAGCTGGAGGTGATTTTGCCTCCCAGTGGATATTGACAATGTCTCAAGACTTTCCTGGTGATGGTAACCGCATAGTGGGTGCACTAGTGGCTTCTAGTGGGTAGGGACCAAGGATGCTGATAATGGGGCCTGAGATCCCATGATGCACAGAGGAGCTCTCTCCCCAAGAATTATCCCAACCAAGATACCAATAGCACCAAGACTAAGAAACACTTCTGTGAAGTGTGTTAATTATCTTTTTGTGTGTGTGTGGGGGGGAGTCAGAAATTCTGAGTTAAATAGAAAGAGCGCTTCTAAGACTCAATATCAACAGGGGTGAAATTGTGAGGCTGTAATTTGTAAATGTATTGACTTTTTAATGTATTTCATAAATTGGGTCAGTTGAATGAATTGCTTTTAAACTTAATTTAGTTTTTATTTAATTTGATTTATTTGTGGTACTAAGAATTGAACTCTGGGGCACTATTTCTTTCAACTACACTCCCAACTCTTTTTACTCTTTGTTTTGAGAAAGGGTAATGCTGTGGTTGAGGCTGGCCTTGAACCTATGATTTTTCTGCTTCAGCCTCCCAATCTGCTGGGATAATAGCCATGAGTCACTAAGCCTTAAGTTAGTTATTTTTTTTCTAAAAATTTATTCTTCTTTAATAGTAATTGATATATCTAAAAGTACCCAAGCAAATCAGAAGGGCACAACATAAGAAATAGTGTCTCTCTACTCAGCCCCTCTTGCTCTTGGTGCATTCTTCTGGAATTAGGTCCTGCATCCTCAAATGTGTTTGTTCACTCCCACCTTTTAGCACCGTGGTTTCCTAACCACTTGTTTAAAATGGTTTTGAAAGAGACTTTCCATATAGCAGATGCTGTCAGAGTGTTTGACTCCTGAAGACAGACTGCACAAGTAAATCACCTGTGGTATCCTGCCCAGCACTCAAGAGAGAAGGCCCAGGGGAAATGACCTACAACCATCTGTGCTTACCACCTCTGGTGCTGTGATGGGAATGGAAGTTTGCAGGTGGTCACAGATGAAGCCACAGGCAACTTGTGTTGGATGAAGCACTACCATCCATGATGTTCAGATTTTCTATTTTCCTTTCTTCTCATGAGACTAGGGCTCTATGGGTATAGGGGGCTGCTTTTTTTTGGCCAATCTTGGTCCCTGTACTGGCCATTATTCTGCCTTGTTTATTAACCTCAGGGAAGAGATTCAGGGAATGGCCAGACTTATTGGATTATACTCCATGCTTTCTCAGAGAAGTTCCATTTAATTTGTAGTGTTGGAAATTCAACACTATATTTCATGATTGTGAAATACCAATTGGTATTTAAATTGTTGTCATTTGGGTTCTTGTGTGGACACTTTATGCCTCTTGCCTATACTTCTGATTTCCAATGAGATTGTTCTTCTTTCTTCTCCCTTTTCTCAGATTCTGAAGTATGTGGAGTGCTTCACTGGACCCAATGTCATGGCCATGCACACAATGCTGATAAACAAACCTCCAGATACGGGTAAAGGGCTCTTATTGTTAAAGAGAATCAAGAAAAAAAAAGATTCTTTAATTAAAACATGTAGAGTTGTTGTTCTAGATCTGGTCATGTGTGTAACTGTCAAACTTTGGGTGAGTGAATGTGGGTGCTTTTGTTTAAGACTTAAAATAGCTCATGTTATATCAACTTTGAAGTGTAATACTGATTTCAGATGTTGATTATAGGGTTTTGCTAAATTTTCAGATGACTGGCTCCCTGGAAAAGTAGGTTGAGAAACATGACTATTATTATGTCATAGACTCCCTCTATTCAACATCTGTGATCTTCACCAACCATTCTTAGCCAGGATCACATGGATTCTGCACTCCTGATCTGAAGACATCATTTTTACTAACAGGATGAAAGCTATTACTACAAGTCACACTCAAGTGCTCGTGGTGCCTTGTGCTTGCCAAAACCTAGATTCTAAGTCCTCATGGAGACACTGATTCTGAAGTAGATCCCAGATGTCTGCATTTTAATACCCATGCCCAGAGATTCCACTGCAGGTGACTCTTGGACCACACTCAGAGATTTTTCTGTACCAAGCAGCAGAAATCAGTCAAGAGGGCTGTATCTTTTTCTACTTTTTCTTCCTTTTGATAGCTGGGAGAGGTTTATTTGATAGGACTGAAGCACAGTGTTTTCCTCCATGGATGTTCTGCCTGTTTCGAGGAGATTTGGGGGAAACCAAATTCTAAAATCAAAGCTGGGGAAAATGTTTGCATGGTCAGTGGTTCTGACTGGTCAATAACTATACAGAGGATGCCTATTGCTCTGTGAATTAAGACCTCTAAGAAAACTGTTTGTGGTATTAGCCACTTAGAAGGGAACCTCAAATTTGAATCAGTAACATTCTCTTTAATTTAATTCATTCAGCTTTTTAAATTTTTTAAAAATCCTTTTGTATGCTAGCTCTGTGCCAAATCCAGAGTGACGAAGAAATAAAGCACAGCAGAGATGATGGGTATATGCAACTTCTAGAAAAGAGTCTAAGCACTCAGCGGCCAGTAACTCAGAAGAAAGTGCTCCATTTTGACTCAATATTTCACTTTGGTGCTGGTTTCTTGGGAATGATTTTTCCACAGTATTTTTTTAATTTTTTTTGCAGGGGAAGGTAATGTGTTGTTTATTCTGGCATAGATTAAGAATTGTGAGGTTTAAGCCCCTTTTGACGGCAGGCTCATTTTAGGCAAGAAGACTTCCCGGCACCCCTTGCACCAGGATCTGCAGTTTTTCCCCTTCAGGCCCAGCAATCGCATTGTTTGTGCTTGGACCGCCATGGAGCACATTGACCGGAACAATGGCTGTCTGGCTGTCCTCCCAGGCACCCACAAACTTCCCCTGAAGCCACATAACTACCCCCAGTGGGAGGTAGGTCTGTCTGACCACTGAGTCTGGATCTGAATCTCTTTCACTGTTGTTATTTCACATCAGGTGCAAAAAGCTTAGAAATGAGACTGCTTTCCTTTCTCAGCAAAGCATTGTCCTGAAATTTGCATTTAGGATCAGGGGGAGTTCAAGGACATCACATAAAGTATTCATTTGATTTGTTCTTTCAACATGGGCTTGAAAGCCAGCCAGAGTGGAGACTTGGGTAGGAGCTGCCTAGGATCTGAGATGGCGAGGCCTGATGGCAGAGGTCAGGCATCAATCCTTCAACTCTGGTGTGTGTGAAGTGCCCACTGACTGAGGCTCTCAGAGTAGAGGAAGGGAGGGAGGGATTGTCTCCTTGTCCCTGTGAGGACCAGCAGAGGCTCAGGGGTGGTGGTGGGGATTGAGCTGAGCCTTAAAGATCAAGGTAGAATTTCCTATCACAAAAAATCTCCTTGGAGGCATCAGGGTCAAGGGCAAGTGGAACCTGGCTAATGAACATGAAATATGGAAGGCATTCTCAGATCAGATGGGCTGGGGGCTGAGGCACATTTTGGAGAGTAGAAGGGGAAGAGAACCTGAGAAGGTCTTTCAGGACCTGATTCAAAATGACTTTCACACCTGTAGGTTACATGGAGAGAATGGGGTCCTTTCCTTTTTAGGAAGCTGGAAGAGTTTTTATTTCTAACGAAAGTGTTTTTGAGGTGTAAGTATCATATAATAGTACATATTTTCAATGTATAATTTGATCATTTTGACACACACACACACACACACACACATACACACACACACCTGGCACCACAATGAAGAGAATAGTTTCCACCTCCTCCCCAGGCAACCACTCAGCTGATTTCTGTTCCTATAGATTAGTTTGCATTTTATAAAAATGTCATATAGATATAATCATGTGGCATACACTTTTTTTTTTTTGGAGTGGTTGCTGTTGCTCCGCATATTTACTTTGAGGTTCAACAAAGCTGACATTCTCAATAGCTTGTTCCTTTCCGTTCAGTGGCATGGCTGAACAATGGTTGGTTTATCCATTCAAATGTTGGTGCTGGGGAGCTACTATGTGCTTCTGCACCCATGAATGGCAAGGTCCTATCCATTCTTCAAGAATATGATCTCAGGTCTGGGGCACAATTGATTCCCAGGAGGTGTAGGAGCTCAGAGGCAGCAAAACCAGAGAGCAGATCTCAGCCTTTTTGATGCCAGACCAGAAGATCCTGAAATCCCTGATGATGGTTAGAATGGAAAGTGCAGCTGTGGTGGGCAAGGAGACTGAGTCGTGCTTCTGTAGGAAATGAAGGCTGTGGCATCAAGGGCTTTTCTCTCCGAATTCTTGCACTACTGATTGTTATCTGTGGAAATATTTGAGTCTGAATCCTGATATAAAAGTGGAAATGGTGAAATTCATCAGTTAAGTTCAGGGACAGGCAAGGGTTGGTACAATCCTAAGGAGGCTTATTGAGCAGAAGGGAAAGGCGTCCAGGGCTATGGGAGTAGACTGGTGTCTGAGATGCTGCTGAGATTCACAGCAGTGGCAGTGGAGGGTCTGCTTAGCTTAGCAGGGACCAATATGCACCTTGGCCAGGAAAGAAGGACACAGAGTCAAAGTCACAATATTGTGCAGTAGGACAATGATTATTCCCCATTGGAATGGGACACTTCTGCCCAGATGCATAAAGGCTCATCAACTGTAGTCACTACTCACTTTAATTTGTATAATAAGGACATACATACACATTTCCTGGAGTTAAGACTACTTTTGGAAATAGTTATCAAAAAATACAGTGTTTAAACTTACTATTCTCTTTTTATTCTGAATATGACATAAGTCCTTTGAACTTAGAAAAATTGAACATGTTCTGTACTTGGTTTGGGGAGAATAATTAGCCTATTCAAGATACCCTGAGTAATACAAGAATGATGTGAACAAAATTCTAGGTGAGGAGAATGTCAGGCTGGGGCAAGGATGTGAAGATTGAGGCTGTAAATGCCTAAGAGAAAGGTGTTCACCTGCATTCACCACAAGAGGCAGAACTGATCTAGATTGTTTATAATTCAATTAGGAAGGGTAGGTGAAGTTCCAATTTGGTTCATTTGTTAAAAAAATGATTTTAATATAAAAAACAATGAATTTAATATATGTGACTTTAATTTGTTGCATTGCTGGGGTTCAAACACAGGGCCTTGCACATGCTAGGCAAGCCCTCCACCACTGAGCTACATCTCTAGCCCTTTGTACAAATCTTAATTTGAGACAGAGTCTGGCTAAATTTGCTAGTCTGCCCTGAACTTATGATGCCTGGCCTCAGCCTCCCAAGTAGCTGGGATCACAGGTGTGTAACACTGAACTCATAGCAGATGATGTTTAAAAACCCAGAAATACGACAGACTTTTGCATTTTTATATTTAATAATTTAATTTAGATAAGTCGTTCTCTTAAAAGAAGTCAGAGAACCCTTGCTGTCCCTGCCAAGTCATACACAAAGTGTTCATTTTGCGCTTCCTCCAGACTTTGCCTATCTTATGTGTTTCAGGGTGGAGTTAACATTTTCAACTATGGGATCCAGGAGTATGAACAGGACCATGCCCGAGTGCACCTTGTGATGGAGAAGGGAGACACCGTTTTCTTCCACCCATTGCTCATCCATGGATCTGGTCGGAATCAAACTCAAGGATTCCGGAAAGTATGCATCCATGTTGCTTCAGTTTTGAAAGATGAATGGGTTCAAAACAGAAAATCATTAGTATATTAACACATAAAAGATTTATGACTTTTCACTAAACTGGAATGCTTTTTCCAGTTTGTTAACCAGGAAGAATATTTGCCTTCCTTGTACTTTTTTTTTCTCTACTCAGTCAGAAGCCAGGTTCCCTCAGGATCCTAAACCTGTTAATCATGAATCTTGGTCATTTGTGGAATTGCTTCAGAGCAGTAGCTCACCTTGCAGTCACAGTTTCTGCTTTCTTAAGCTAAAACAATGACTAAAATACTCAAATAATCACACATTTGAGATTTATGTGGCTCAGGGTAAGTAAAACAAGAAGCAAATTTAGAATATCCTTATTATTATAGAATATCCTTATTAACTTGGAAAAACAATATTAGTCCTAAGCAAAGGTTCTGAATTGTCTGCACATATTTATCCCCCTCCAATCTCAGTATTTTAAATTAAATAATTTTGTCACTGACATTTAAAAATTGACAGAATTCCTTACAATTTCCCTGATTTCTCACTTGTTGCAAATTCAGCAGATCTTAGAGTATTGTGGGCTCACTTTCCCCATGGTAACAAGGTTGTCCATAATATGAGGCTCCTTTAAGATTCAGTGGGGTTTCCAGTTTGTCCCCTGGTTCCCACTGATCCCTGTTCTAACCCCAAGTATAGGGTTGCAGACTTTATTCATTTATATTTGCACCAGGCTCACTAGGGCCTGGTACAAGTTGATACCAGTTGGGGCAGTCCTGAGGATAAAATTGAAGGGGCTACCAAAATCTCAGCCATCAAGTTAAATGCTGTTTTACTAAATCAAAATTAATGCAAAAAAATCCATGCTGTGTACAATGTCAAAAATTTAAATAAAAGACAGGAAGTACCCGCATTAGCATAACCCTCAGGTCATGTTAAGTATGGAAGTGCAAGCACAAAGATGCAAATAGTGATGTGATTTGTAATATATTCACTTTGCAATATTTCCACATTTTCACTGATTTTAATGTTCTGGAAAAACATTTACAATTATTTCCTAACAACATGGGTGTAGAAGTACACAATTTTCCTTATGCCTTGTGTCTTGATGTGGCTTTGTCTGGCACAGGGTCTGCACAGAAAATAGAGTTTAAAGAAAACTTTAAATGCTTAGAAATGTGAAGATCTGTTACTTATATAATTATGCCGCCTGTCCTATATATATCTTTAAAAAATAAATAATTAGGTAAAAGACTCTTTAGTCATTTCTTAATTAGCCTTTTGGTGGGAGAGCAAGCGGGAGAGGCTCACCTAGAAAGTGACAGATTTAGGATGCCACGGAGGGCCTGGTAGTTGACTAGTCAAATCCTGGGCAGAAGAATAGACTCCCTGAAAGGAGAACTCCTCCTAGCTTGGTTGTTGGCATTCATAGCATACTTTTCTCCATTATCAATTGTTCACTCTGCACAGGCAATTTCCTGCCATTTTGCCAGTGCTGATTGCCACTACATCGATGTGAAGGACACCAGTCAAGAACACGTTGAGAAAGAAGCTGTGGGAATAGCAGATAAATTATACGGAAGTGACAGTGGCTTAGACTTGAAGGTACACTTGCATGAAATAACCAAGTAAAATGTCTGAAGTTTCTTGTCTTCACATGCTTAATTAATCCCTAATTTAATTTGAAATGAAGGATGTGGGAATTCTGAATGCATAGGAACAAACATAAAGGTTTGGGACTTCAATCAGGCCTCCCTTCTTGGAAGGAATATTTTCATTAGGCAATCCTGTAAGACTTCAGGGAGCAATTCTGGAGTAGTGTTGCTTTTGGTAAATTTGCATCTAGAGCAGAGTTGGAGTAATGCTTATGGATGAAGGGCATTAGACAGCGTCTCATGTGCTTTCCTAATTGATACACATCATTTGGAAAGTATTTGTTTCTAAGTAGTGGACATTCAATGCCACTAAAGAGCAATAGATAAATTAGCAATCAAAGCCATTAAAAAAGAAAAACCTTCACTTTATAGAAAACACACAGTTTAGGTTCTGAACTAAGAAGGTATTCCTATTTTACTTTATTTGTATAACATAATGATAGTATGGGCATGTACTATCAAGAGACTAAGTGTGATGATAACTCTAGTCCATCCAGGAATCTGTAGGTCAGTGCACACCAGTGGGATGCTACAGTGCCATTGGGAACCTTCAGGACAGCTTTCCAGGGTGGAGAATCTTGCTTCTCTCTTTAGAATCTACAAATGTGTCCCTTATCTGAAAATGCTCCATGATTGAGGATTCAACCAACTGAAATTTGTAAAAATATTCAGAATATTAAACAATGTTTGAAAAAAATTGCATCTGTATTAAACATATATAGACATTTTTTAAATCATTATTTCCTATGTAATACAGCCTAACAACTACCTCATGTTTCTATTGTACCAGGTGCTTTAAGTAATCTAGGGGTGATTTAAAATATATGGGAGGATGTACAGAGGTTATTTTATAGCAAGGATGTGAACACCCATGGATTTTGGTAGCTGAGGGGTCCTGGAGTGTACAGTACATTTGAAGTTTGTGAAGGTTGTCCTGAATGAACACCACCCATATTTTAGTTATCTCACAAGTTAGAGCTTATTGGATATATTTAGAATGGCAATAGAATAACAATAACAACTCATATAATTCCAACTTATAAGTAACTTATAAGTTTTTATAAAAACACTTCCATGGGGCTGGGGTTGTGGCTCAGTGGTAAAGTGCTCACCTAGCACGTGCGAGGTGCTGGGTTCAATCCTCAGCACCAAATACAAATAAACAAACAACCAAACAAATAAATAAATAAAGGTATTGTGTACAAGTAAAAATAATTTTAAAAAATTTGAAAAAACAAAAACTAAAATACTTCCATGTCCCATTTCTGATTGTCTTCACCAAAACGCAGTGAACACTCTGTAATGCACCTGCTGTAAAGGACAAATTGGAGTTCCAGAGACTGGCCTAAGTAACAGAGCTAGATTTCAAGGTCAGGCCTAATTCTGAAATCATTCTTTCCACCATATGGTTGAGCTGTCTGCTCAACAATAAACAAAAAACAAGAAATTAGAAGGTCTCAATTGCCTTATTAATAAATGCAGTAGGGTGTGTTGTGGCACATGCCTGTAATCCCAGCTACTTCATGGCTTGGCTGAGGCAGGAGGATTGCAAGTGAGGCCAGCCTCAACAACTTAGTGAGCCTCTGTCTCAAAATGGAAAATAAAAAGCCTGGGGATATAGATCAGTGGAGAGTGGCCCTGGGTTCCATCTCCAGTACTCCCTCCCCACACCCAAGTAAACCAGTATCCATGGTACCATGTTCACTACTACGATCTCATCAGAGTTTCCCCTCAAAGCGGTTCAGGCAAGTAATAAAAAGCTAATCTGAGAGAAGGATCCTGAGCTGCTGTGACTCAGCATCACAGCCTACCCTCCCTGGTGCATTACCTGTGATCAGCGAGGCCAACAGCTTAAGGATCCATGGATTCTGTGCAGTTGGCATTATTTTAAATGTTGGCAAGAGAATTAATTGCAGTTTCAAAGCTTGCTTATTTATTAATCAATATAATAATCATAGCATTGTTTTCCTATTTAACCATTTGTAGAGCCTAGAAATCTCTTGTGGGGAATAGGCCAATAGATGTGTTCCACACACTCATTCTGTTTGGTATTATTTCCAGGATATTTGGATGTTTCGAGGCCGACTTGTGAAAGGAGAAAGAATCAACATTTGAAATAGTTCTTGATTATAACTCTTTCAAAGGAGATCAAAGAAACAAGGAGTCTAAGGAAAATGTTTTCATATGGGATGATGTAATGTTTTCTATCACTTGGTATCAAAATCAAGAAACACACCTTGGGAACTTCATTTTGCAGAGTTAATTTTGCAGTGCAGTGATATTACTTTAGTGGAAGTAAGAACAGTAAAATGAAATATAACTGTTTTCAGAAAAACTGGTTTGGAATTACAACTAATAAATGTGGCATATGATTTAAGTATGCTCAATCAGTTCCTCTCATTGATTAGCTGTTTTTCCTGGCAGAAATGAATTCCCTGAAACTCAGTGTGCACTGAGATGAGCATGCCTCTCCTAGTAAAGCCAACACTTCCCCATTTAATGTCATGAGAGATTTCAAACTAGAACCATGTGTAGTACATTCACATTTGGTGAAGGGCATACCAGGGCCATCATGGGATCAAAATAAGGTGGGTCCTCATTCTCTGACCCAGGTTTCCTTCCAAGACTTCTTCAATCCAACTACTCTCCTTCAAAACCAGAATTTTTTTTTTCAAAAAATATCCTTTGTTTCTAAGGAATGTAGACAAGGGCACCTTCCTAGATATTTCCTGTTAAGCAGGGCAACTGAAAGCCTTCAGAATTTATGAATGAAACCTAAGCTTTTTTTGAGGACCAGAAACATACTCTAGGCTGAATTGGGAGTGAGCTTGGACTGGGGATTTATTTTAATATATCACTGTATTTCTATACCAGTTGAGGAGTGCAACCACTCTGGAAAGAAGTATGGAGAGTCCTCAAGAAAACTAGGAACCATTGGAGCCAGTTATCCCACTCCTTGGTATATATCCAAAAGTTTTTAAATCAGCATACTATAGTAATATAGCCACATCAATGTTTATAGCAGCACAATTCATAATATCTAGGCTATGGAACAAAACTAGGTGCCCTTCAACAAATGAATGGATAAAGAAATTGTGGCATATATGCACAATGGAATATTACTTAGCTATAAAGAAGAAGACTTTATGACCTTCACTTGTAAATGGGTGGATCTGGAGACTATCATGCTTAGTGAATTAAGTAAAATCTCCCTAAAGCCAAAGATTGATATTCTCTGATACATGGATGCTAACCTACAACAAGTTGTGAGGGAATAGAAATTCAGTGGTTTTAGACACAGGGGAATGAAGGGTGGGAGATAGGAATAGGAAAGACAGAGGAATTCTTCTGACATAACTTTTTTATGTATATGCATGAACACACCAGAGTGAATCTCAACATTGTGTACATCCACAAGACTGGGATCCTGACTAGAATAAGGTATATCATATTGTATAAATATAACAAAATAGATTCTACTGTCATTTATTACTAAAGAGAACATTAAAAAATTCTCTTAAAGACAAAAACATGGTTCTTATTTTTAAAAATTATATTTATGGCTTGATTAAGCATAAAACAGCCAGTTCCTTTCTTGTTATTCTGCTGAGCAGAGGTTTTCCTAAGGCTTGTGTTACCATGTTTGTTAGTTTCTTAGCCCCTGCTGGAAAGGAGAGAAGGCAAGAGAATCATGAAAGGGCCTAAAGAAAGGATTCCTAGAAGGATGGGAACTAAAAGGTAAATAAGGAATGCCAGTGCAAACAGCATGCAGGAAGCAGGGCTTGTATCTAGAATGAACCTCCAACTAGTTTCAACCTGAATTTCTTTCCCTGCCTGGGCCTCCCAAGAAGCTGTGATTACAGGTGTGCTCCCCTGAGCCCTGCTCCAATCCAACGAGGAAAACCAGATTCCAGGGAAAACAGCACAGTTAGTCCCCAATGCATCTGTGTGTGAAAGCCAACTCTTCTGTCAGGAACATGCACTTCTCATCTCATCTGTGTCCCTTCTGTCCCTTAGTTCACATATGAATCTGCAGGCGCCCACTCTGTAGTGGGAGGGGAATGACAGCAGGAAGACTAGGGCTGCTTTTCACCCGTGTGCACCCTCCTTGGGAAGGACGGGAGCAAACCCCTGGTGGAACATGAAGAGATGGGACAAAACACCTTGGCAGAATGAGGAGAAGCCTGGCTGCTCAGTGGGAGGGGATGTGTTCCGGGCTGTTCATTCATCAGACAGTAATCCAAAAGTTGATACTCAATGTGCAAAATAAAACTAGAACCTTCTTCTAAGGAATTTGGGACTCAGAGTTGTGAAAAGCCAGAGGCCTTTGCTTACTTGTATGTACTTGGACTCCCCTTTGTTTCCTGTGTTCTTTTTAATATATAACATTGGAATAAAATATATATTATAGCTGGGTGCAATGGCACATGCTTGTAATCCCAGTTGCTCTGGAAGCTGACTCTGGAGGACTGTGAGTTCAAAGCCAGCCTCAGCAAAAGTGAGGTGCTAAGCAACTCAGTGAAACCCTATCTCTAAATAAAATACAAAACAGGGCTGGGAGTGGTGGAGTGCCCCTGACCCCTGAATTTAATCCCTGGTACATCTGATATATATATATATATATACAATTAGTCATGTTAGCCTGTATTTGTTGTTTTCTTTTTCTTACTGGGGATTGAACCCAGGGGTGTTTTGCTACTGAGCTACATCCCCCCCCCCTTTTTTTAGTTTGAGACAGGGTTTTAGTCAGCTTTTTCACTGCTGTGACCAAAAGACATGATAAGAACAATTAGAGGTGGAGAAGTTTATTTGGGGCTCAAGGTTTCAGAGATCTCAGTCCCTAGATGGCAGACTCCATTGATCTGGGTCCAAGGTGAGTCAGAACCTCATGGTGGAAGGCTGTGCTATATTAAAGCAGCTCAGGACATGATATCAGGAAGCAGAGAGAGAATTTTGCTGAACATGGATAACATGTATACCCCAAAGGCATCCCCCCCCCCAATGACCCTCCTCTTTCAGCCACATCCTACCTACCTATAGGTTCCACCCAGTTTATTCTATCAGGGCATTAATGCACTGATTAGGTTAAAATTCTTATGCCCTAATCATTTCACCTCTAAACTTTCTGGCATTGTCTCAAATTGAGTTTTTGGGTGACACCCCGATATCTGAACCGTAGGTTCTTGTTAAATTTCCCAGGATGCCCTGGAACTTGCAGTTCTGCCTCTGCCTCCCCAGTCACTGGGATTACAGCATGTGCTCCCATGCCTGGCCATCTTAGCCATTTTTCAGAGTGTAGATCAGTGACATTGTGGACATTCACATTGTTTTGCAGCCATCAGCACCATCCATCCACAGAACACTTTCCATCGTACCAAACTGACACATCATCCTCAGTAAACACTAACTCATCTTTCCCCTTCCTTCATACCTAGCCCACCACACTCTGCATTCTGTCTCTGTGAATTTGGTTACTTTAGGGACACTCAGGTGAGTGGAATCACAAAGTATTTTTCTTTTCCTTACAGGATTATTTTGTTTAGCATCATGTCCCCAAGGTTCTTCCATGCTGTGGCATGTGTCAGAATGTCCTTCCTTTTTAAGATGGAATGATACTCCATTGAGGGGCTGGGGCAGTAGCTCAGCAGCAGAGGGCTTGCCTAGCATGCATGAGGCACTGTGTTCAATTTTCAGCACCACATAAAAATAAACAAAATAAAGGCATTATGTTCATCTACAACTGAAAAAAAAATTTAAAAAAATAACGCTCCATTGTATGTCTATATCGTGTTCTGCTCATTCTCCTGTCTATTGCAGATTGCTTTCCAATTTCAGTGATTCTGAACAATGCGACTGTGAACATGAATGTACACATGTCTCTTTGAGAACATGCTTTGCATTCTTTTATTATATTTTGAACCTTCAATTCCAGAAGTGGAATTGCTGGGTCCCCTGGGAGTTCTATTGTTAATTTGTGAGGAGTCACCATACTGTTTTGTCCAGTGTCTGCAACATTTTACATTCCCATCAGTAGTGAAGGAGGTTTCCAATGTCTCCACATCTTTGCAGCCACTGGTGACTTTTTATTTATTTGTTTATAGAAGCCATCTTACCCAACCCTGATGTCTACCCCTGAATTACATTTCCAGACCCTCTCCTTTAAAAAAAAAATTTTTTTTTGAGTCAGGGTCTAAGTTGTCCAGATCATCCTTGAACTTTTCATGCTCCTTCCTCAACCTCCCAGGGAACCTGGATCAGAGGCCTTCAAGGGCATGTCCAGCAGTAGCCATCTTCCTGGGTATGAGATGGTGTTCCTTCTGATACATTTGACCAAAATAAAATCTTTAGCCCACACTTCTATGGACAATGGATAGCTAAACATGACTCAGTTATGGAACCTGTTTGAGGCACGTTTAGATTGAAGCCTGGAGGGCTGGACAGGCCTACGGCTGACCTGGTGATATGAACTGGGAGACAATATAATATAAAGCTGCCTTTCACGTTTTTGAGGGCAACAGGTGGGACGAAGCAGGCAGGGTTTTGTTTCTCTAAAGGGGAATGCCTTATGAATGAAACCTGGAACAAAGATTCTACTGTGATTATATCACACTATGACTTTTAAAGAAAAATTTTTTCTTAGTTTTAGTTGGACAGAATACCTTTATTTTGTGTATTTAATTTTATGTGGTGCTGAGGATCGAACCCAGTGCCATTCGTGTGCTAGGTGAGTGCTCTACCACTGAGTCATCACCCCAGCCCTGTATTCTTATTTTTTATTTGCCAGTGTGGGGGATCCCACTCAGGGCCTGGAGCTAGGCAGCTGTTCTGCCACTGAGTTACATTCCCAGCTCCCTCCCCCATTTTTTGTGAGAAGGTCTCACTAAGTTGCTCAGGATGGCCTCAAATTTTCAATCCTCCTACCTCAGCTTCCTGAGTAGCAGGGATTTCAGGTGTATGCCATACCCGACACAATCTACAACTCTAGTTTGTTCAAATTGTTCCAGCTTTGGCCATTAGAAGCTGTTGCTGTTGCTTCCTGGGTCTCTTTGACATACAGACCCTCACCTGTGTAGGTTTTTGCTTTGTTCTTAATTATTAGCACTGCCTACTTTCAG